CTGCAACTGCAATTGCATTGCGTCTGTTGCATCTGCAACTCAGTTGCAACAGTGCAGTTGCTTTTTGCGGTGCGCCTCCTTCGGGCGACGAACCAATAACCAACAACCATTACATCACAGTATTCACTTCTTAATCATAAGAGTAGACAAGAAATCATATATTACAACGAATTTTACTCAGCGATGTGCCGCTTGTGAGTATATTAACCCAAATATTCTCCCAGCCAGAGCAAATAAGACCTGCAGACGCCTGGAAAAGCTGACGTTAAAGCAAAAGTACTCCGTGTCAATGTTCCCGATCAGAGGGGCAAACTATAGAGATATCAAACACTCGTTGCACAAGCAAGGAACTGTTAAGTAATTACCAGCCGTAGTCAAGGGAGCTTCAAATGAGGTAAGTGTGAACGCAATACTTCCAGTGATTTTACCCTCAAAGTTATCCCGAAACCGAATATCTGGGCAACATTTCCCTGTGCGTGGTGTGATGCCCTACGTATCCGTCATATTCTACGGCGACCTTATCTTTCTCAAGTCTACCAAAAACAACACTTACTTAACTTCTGCATCTTTTAAGGAAATATTACGAAGAACTTCAATGCCTATAGAAACGGCTGATAAAGCCATTTCACCATAGTTCGAAAAACGTTTCTCGCGAACAGTTTCATGTTGTTGCAGATCGTAGGTTTAAAACCTGCGTAATGCAATGATGAGCTTTATTTTTCTTTCTTTATGACCACTTCTTGTTTCGCCTAGATAGGACATCTTTAACAGATACAAAGCAATTGTTCAGTTTTTAGAGAATTCTCAGGCATGCATTAACATCACCGCCGGGGAAGGGATCGCAGCTTACAAAGAAAGCTTCATATCCTGAAGCTCCATATATCTGGATTTCACGCTTCTACCCATCCGTATGTCCTACCATCTTTCACTATAAAATTGAACAGGAGCGAGAAGCAGTACAAATCGCATATTTCAGCTTTTTGTATGATCCCCTGAGATCCCTGGCGGCCGACAGTCTTTTGTCCAAAGTCATTTTTCTACCTTCAAAGTTAGGGAAAACCTCACGAAGTTGCACCGATCAGCTATCCCAACAGTGCTAAGCATGTTGCTGACAAAAACACATTTGTTTCAAAATCAAGAAATTTTCGATGTCGAACCACAAGTCGAATGTTGGGGTCTATCGAAAAATTCGATTTTTCTAAAATTCATCTGTTCTTATCGGCAACACGTTTAGCACTGCTGTGTTAGACGTTCGGTATAATTTAGGAGGTCTTCGCTAACTTCGAAGAAAGAAAAGTGGCTTTGAAGAAAAGACGGTCGGCCGTCAGGGATCATCAGGGAATCATACAAAATGCGAGAAAATGTGTTGTACGACCAGGGTAAAGCGGGGGGTGCGGCACGCCACACCTGGGGGGTCGTATTGGAAGGTCAGGGAGGGGGGGGGGAGTCGTTGTCAAGGCTGTACCGAGTAAGCATTAACATGATATTCGAAACAATGTCAGAAAGGCCCATTATGCCAAACACTAGCACATTGATGGTTTAGCCTACCATTATACATAAATTAAGCATGACAAGAAAGCCTTAAAAGCATGAGAGCATCACTTTCGTATTTACCATGTCAAATAACCCCTGTAGGCCAAGTTTCAGCGAATTCTGAGGTTTCCAAGTATTGGGTCACCCAAGTGAAATGGTCATTTTCAAACATAATCAACTTTGAGTAGACTGTATGTCTCCTTTTTGTAAAACCTTGGCATGCTTTGTAGATATTGTTCAACTGTTTTAAGCCGTAACAGGTTTTTAAAGGAACACTTTATTTACTGCCCGACGTTTCGGCTGAATGCCGTCTTCAGGGGCCTGAAAGCGAGTCAATCACTCTTTAATCAAACGATCTAGACCACCAGACACCTCCTCCAAACCGTACACTTGACTCATCTATTGTGACGCAGATAAGTTCTCAAGTTGAACAGCTTACCAAGTGTTCCTGGTGAGGAGCGTAAGGGTGTTAGCTCTCTCTCACGGTCGCCCACAGCAGATGATGACAAAATGAGCGGTCCGAATAAGTACGACACGCTTAAATAGTGTAGGCACTCATAGTTCGCAAAATGATAGAAACGGCTTCAGATCACTAGTGATAGACAAATGTTCGTTCTTGCTGTTCATTTTAGGATTACGAGCAAGTATGAATGAAGCCTCTGACGCTTTTCGAGCAGCAATATGTTCTTCGACAGCCAAAATGCAACACTGGATTTCAAAATCATCTCCTCCATGGTCCTCTTTCCTATGCTTTCCAGGAGGGCTTACGAGACTTTGTCTTCTCTTACTCGCCAGGTGTTCGCTGACACGTACGTGAAGTGGTCGACCAGTTTCGCCTATGTAAATGGCATGGCATATCTTACATTCTAGCTGGTAAATCACTCCGCATTTTGAACAGTCTCCTAACCTCTCATCCGTGCAAACAACGCAGTTCTGCATTACGCATTGCCTGTCATACAATCTATTGCGGACCAGTTGCTTTTTGATGTTGTTTTGGGGTATGTTCACTAAAACAACATCATCCGCCAATTGCGCTTGTATTAGACATTGCTTGAAAGCGTTGCTTATTCTATCGGACACGAACGGTAGGCATAGCGATATACGTGATCGAGTCTGACTGCTAGCGTTCGCGCATGTTCTCTTGCGAGGTTTGGACTGCAGTTGGTAGCCATTCTTAGCAACTATCTCGTATGCCAGCTTCGTAGATTCCAGTCTTTCAACTTCACCGCTGCAAACATCGCGCGCTGTTCTAAACATATTGCGAATAATCGCTCGTTTTACAGCAGATGGATGCGCAGATGTGGCATGCAGAATTATATTCTTAGAACTCTCCTTCCGATACCATTTGACGTGTGCTGCTCCATTTTCCAACATCACCTGCGTATTTAGATATGGTAGCCAGCCATCGTGTGGTCTCTGTCTTGTCAAGCTGATGTACCGTGATTGTTCATTGAGAATTCTAAAGCACTCATCCATTTCGGATTGAGTTGCAGTAGCAATGTAACAATCATCGATGTAACGGCAGTACATCAGGGGACATCGCAATAATACCGGCTCCTCTATTTTCCTCATAAAGCAAATAGCGAGCGCGGGCGCTAGTCTTTGTCCCATCGCTAGTCCTCTTAGTTGTGCATAATATTGTCCCGACCATTTGAAGACGTTGCATGCCAAGCATTCCTTGACCAAGGAGATGATGCGCGCTTTACTGAGCCCGTATGTTTCCATATTGATAATATGTGAATCGAGCAGCTCAGAGAGCGCTTGTAAGGCGTCATTATTGGACACATTAGTGTATAATGACGTAACATCAAATGACTCCATTACGCAATTTTGGTCAAAGTGCGTTTTGCGTAGTTGATCAAGGAAGCGGCTTGTGTTCGGCAAATGGGCGGGGATCTTACATAAGAGTTGACTAACGATCTTGCTAAGGAACCACGAAATTCTGTCAGTTGGCCCACCTACACAGCTGATTATTGGTCGATTGCAAGACGCAGCGGTCACATCTCGTGGATCAGTCAAGGCGAGTTTGTGTGTTTTTACGAGGCTATAAAAGACAGGACAAGCCGGATTTTCAATTTTAAGCCTACTGAGAAACTTTTCGTCTAGTCCCGCTTGCTTTCCGATCATCATCCAGATGTGATTAAGTCGCTTGCTTTGAGAAAGGAATTCTTTTTCGGTTGAGCGACGATAAACTGTAGCATCGGATAGATGAAGTTCAGTTATGTTGCGATCGACGGCATTTCGGCATCGATGCATTTTGGCTGTCGAAGAACATATTGCTGCTCGAAAAGCGTTAGAGGCTTCATTCATACTTGCTCGTAATCCTAAAATGAACAGCAAGAACGAACATTTGTCTATCACTAGTGATCTGAAGCCGTTTCTATCATTTTGCGAACTATGAGTGCCTACACTATTTAAGCGTGTCGTACTTATTCGGACCGCTCATTTTGTCATCATCTGCTGTGGGCGACCGTGAGAGAGAGCTAACACCCTTACGCTCCTCACCAGGAACACTTGGTAAGCTGTTCAACTTGAGAACTTATCTGCGTCACAATAGATGAGTCAAGTGTACGGTTTGGAGGAGGTGTCTGGTGGTCTAGATCGTTTGATTAAAGAGTGATTGACTCGCTTTCAGGCCCCTGAAGACGGCATTCAGCCGAAACGTCGGGCAGTGAATAAAGTGTTCCTTTAAAAACCTGTTACGGCTTAAAACAGTTGAACAATAATCAACTTTGTTTCTAAAGTGAATTAGTTATCCGTTTTTGCACTCAAGACAAAGCACTACTCCTTCTTTGTCCACCTCAGAAATCCCGCTTCAAAAGACCTCTAAACTGTGGAATTAGAACTTACCAAAATCTCATTTTTCCCATTCTTCGCTTTCAGTGGCTGTGTTTTCACCAAACATTTCTCAGAGCTAAGAAGACGAATCAGGCTCAAAACATCCCTATGGAATCTACGAGGTTTAGGCTATCGATTCATATAAGTAATGTTTAATAAAAATGTCTTTTTGATATAGTTAATGGGGTGCGGCACCCCCCCCCCTCAAAAGCTGCGGCTGCCGCAGCTTTTAAGGGGGGGGGGTACCGCACCCCATTAACTTACCTTTGAAGCCGTTGAATTTCTACGATTTTAATGTCGTTGCTAACGCTCAACCTTCTTCTCTCTATAGTACGATCTTCATCCAAAATTTTCCCGCATAGAATGAGATATAGTGCTTTTTCTACTAACTACAATCCATCGTGCGGCTTCCAAATTATCGGGTTACGGTAGCATGCAAATTCATTCTGCGTTAATGCGTAAACGATGCAGAAAGGCGGCAAGCTAAATAATTTGGATGCCTTCCATTGTTTTTTGTACTTCTTTTCGTCGGTTTCCTTATATGAGGCCTTTCTTTCTGACACCGAGATCTTTTAGGGAAATGGGACGACAGATCTACAGTCTGGTTCTTGATTCCTCCCAAAAATGGAATGGAATTGCTGGTCGGAGCTGACGTTCGGAAACTGGTGAGTAGTTTGAGAAGTACTTTTATGTGCTGTTTTTTCTTCACTATTACTCAATTTTCATTCATGTTTTTGTTGTTGTTTTTGTTGTTCTGAACATCAATCTTGCTTTTTTTGCTTTTTCTTTGTACATGCTGCAAATGTGAATTTCTCGCGTTCAGGTCGGTGTCTGGATTGATGCCGGATCCAGATATGAGACCCTAGCGAATAATGGTACTGCACATTTTCTCGAGCATATGGCTTTCAAGGTGAGCGCAAGTGTAAATTCAGATCGCTCATTATTGTATTTTTTCTGATCTATCAGGTTGTCCCATAAGTTCCGTCCGTTTTAAATTTCAACCGCAATAAATTAAGAACTTCTTGTTCCCAGATAGGCTCCAAGGTACCGTTCGATAGAGCAAATCAAGCTCTACAAGATGGCTGTCTCGCTTTTGCATCAGCTCTGATCCATCTCGAGTTTCAAGGCGAAAACTAAAAAGATCCAACTGCCCGAAAAATCGAGAAAGAATCATAACTCCGTCCAAAAAACTTCTGTAAAAATTCTAACTTGCTCGCGTAAACAGTATCCATATAAAACATTTATATACGCCATTGCCGTGTTTTTTCCTTGGCTAGAAATCAAGAAAATGAAGATTTTCACGCTTTTGCCAAAGTGGTGTTGTGATGTCCCTACATAGATAGTTGTATACTACTAGCCAGTAAAAGTGCAAACACAAATTTTCAGCTCTCTACAAGCTTTGGTTCTCGAGAAATATCGAATACAGCTTGCCTTAGTTGGATGCCTTACGCTAAAATCCATATTTCTCGAAAGCTACTGCCTGTAGAGAGCTGAAAATTTACATTTGTACTTCTACAGGCTAGTAGTATACAATAGGGACATCACAGCACCACTTTGGCAAAAGCGTGAAAATCTTCATTTTCTTAATTTCTAGCCAAGGAAAAAACACGGCAATGGCGTATATAAATGTTTTATATGGATACTGTTTACGCGAGCAAGTTAGAATCTTTACAGAATTTTTTTGAACGGAGTTATGATTTTTTCTCGATTTTTCGGGCAGTTGGATCTTTTTAGTTTTCGCCTTGAAACTCGAGATGGATCAGAGCTGATGCAAAAGCGAGATACCTTCTTGTAGAGCTTGATTTGCTCTATCGAACGGTACCTTAAAACCTATCTAGGAATATGAAGTTCATAATTTATTGCGATTGAAATCCAAAGCGGACGGAACTTATGGGACAACCTGATATATACATCTTTTGCTCTCTTATCAAAGAGGATCAAATACTGAGAAGAGTCTGAAAACGGGACTTAAGTGCCAATTTTCGTCTTTTTTACTTGTATTTGTGCATCATGGTCAAAATCTTGCTGTATGAAAAAGCAGCTAAAAAAGCAATACAGCTCGAAATGCCTGTCGATCCCCAAAGTAAGTATTTCTGTTTTGCTGCAAACCATACTTTTTCTTGTAAATGGCTTATACAAGAGAGTTTTGCACTGCTGCATGACGGTCTTTTTATATTAGCATGGGAAATCTTTCATGAAATTTCTGTGGGAATTTTTCTTAATTTGCTTCCCTTCAAAAAGGTTTGTGTGCCTTCTCAACCTGCATCATCCCTATAGCGGACTGGAATTCCTTGTCATTCTATATGATAGCTTGAAAGAAATTAACACATTTAGGTCCTCTTGCAAAAGCTTGCATGATTTGTGGCATTTTGGCGAAATCGGTGAGTGCTATCGGTGAGTTTACTTTCATTGTCTAGCACCGTAAATTTTCTTCTTCTTTTCTTTTTTTTTCATAATTTTATTGGTCTGCTTAGGGAACGGCCATAGGTTGTCGGTGTTGTCGATGTTGTCGGAGTTGCCGAGGTTGCCGGTGTCGTAGGACCTCATGATAGCCTCCACGTTTCGCGCGCTCTCTAAACTGTCTCTGACCCCGACAACCCCGACAACATCGACAACATCGACAACACCGACGACACCGACAACACCGACAACCTATGGCCGTCCCCTGAAACTATGAAAATTCTCTTCTTATCCCAGGTCTCTTTACCGAAGCAGCTGAATGCGTGTCTGCAACTCTATGAGGAATTTTATGACTCGCGGCATACGGGTCGCAAGCTTCAGTGGCAACCACGACTTGGTCAGTGCGTTCTCAAAGCGAATTTCCGACCAGGGGTATTAAATAAATTATATAAATTTGCTATTCCTATAGTCTTTTTATGTTGAGTGCGACAAAGAGTTGAAAGTATCGTTATTCCAAGCAACAGTGTTACTACTTTTCAATGATCAACCATCTTGGACAGCTGTCGATATCATGATGGTCACAAAACTAGGTAAATTTTTTCTTGCGCCATATTGATAGCCTGTCAGTCTTATTTTACTCAGAACAAAAGGAATTTGTTCGCACGATGGTATCCTTGTCATGCGCCAAAGTTCGTGTTTTGCACAAAACTCCGACAAACAAAGAGGTGAGTAGCTTGATTAACATTCGTGATAAGATATTTAGGTAAGTCCACCAATTTCTATTTAGATCAATGACACAGATGTATTTACAATACCGCTCACATTTTTTGAAAAATAGACGCGAATGTATGGACATGTATGGACATGTACGGACATGTCCATACATGTATGGACATGTCCATACATCAGCGTCGCGTGGCCATATCCAGGGTTGAGCGTGGGGTCAGGCGCGCCCGACCTGGGGGGTCGTACTGGGGTAAGACAAAGGGGGGGAGGTCGTGATTAGGAATCGAATTCGTTCGATTGAGGAGATACTACGATTAAGGTGAAGAAGAAAAGCGCTAGTTTAGTGGATATCGCGACCTCACCAGTACTGAAGGAATGAACGGTTTAAACAGCATACTGATTGATTTCACAATCGAAGTTTCGGCCAACTCAAATCTTCATCTTCTACTTTGACATATTATAAATTCATCAAGGAAGCTTGCTGTGTGAAATGGATATCATTTCCGAGCACGCAAATTACCTCTATGAGCCCTACAAACCATTATTTACTGCATTATCTAGTGTTGTTTCTCAACGACTAAAAAGCGTGATTTTCAAACATGATTAACTTGTTTTCAAAAGTGAGAACAGTCAATTTTTTTGTACTCGTAACAAAGTATTGTTCCCCACTAGTCTAGGCTAAAAATCGCGCTTTGTATCGCTTGCAAATAGTGGAGTAAGAAATAATGCCAAAATTCCAACCGGCGCGTTTTTCGCCATGACTGCTTTAACTCCACGGATTACCACAAGGCCGAAACAAGTCGAATCAAGTCCAAACACTTATTGTGGAATCTTCGAGGGTTGTGCTAGCGATTCACATAAAACTTGAATAAAAAACTTCTTCAATGATAAAGTTAATCGGGTCAGGCGCAACCCCACAAAAGGTCAGGCCGCCTGAGCTTTTGAGGGGTTGCGCCTGACCCGATTAACTTGTTTTCAAAATCTAAAAATCGCTCCATTTCTGCTATGAGTATTGAACTCAAAGCCTCTTCTTGCAATACTGCAAATTTGGAGCCAAACAATACACCCCTGTGGGAATTATAGCTTTAAAAGTAGGGCTATCCATAATCCAAAACTTGCCGTCAAGTTGCGTATGCTGTGCAATCGCAGAAAGTCGACCTACAGACCTCCAAAAAATAAGAACTCCCAAAAACGGCTGATCTCTTCGAATTATCACAGCCTGAGGTCCTGGAGGTGAAGCAAAGGGGTCGTTTAGGGGCTTTCACTGGGGGGGGGGTCGTTTTGGAAAGACTTGTGCCTGACCTCTTGCTCAACCCTGGCCATATCTCGCTTCAGAGTGGACGAATTCTGAATCCAAAGCCATCATTCGATTCAGCTCGGCGCGTAGAATCTTCTGATATATTGGAAGTGGGGGCACGATGTCTTCGATATTCCGTTTCCAGTTTTTTCAATTTGTTCTGCGGAGGTCCCTTCGCGAATATGTGAAGCAACGCCTACCCAACATAGAAGACTTTACTGGGTACTATTCGATAATACTGTTCTTGTAGATTATTGTGCGCTAAAAAATAGGCTCAGACTTCCTTCCAAAGGAGATAGAAGCGTTGGTGAGTTTTGGAAAAATCACGCGTTTTTAAATTCTACTAGCCATAACTTCCTTCGAAATAAGTATATTTTGAATCGAAAAGCAGCGCCTTGCTCAGCTCATTAAGGCGAATCTTCCAATATACAGCATGTCCTTGATATTTCGATTTCAGTATTCTTGAATCTTTCTGAGGACGTCTTTTCGCGAAGGTGTAAAGCAGCGAGCATTGTCCCGAGTACATTAGTACATTCCAGCAAGGATCTTTCGATAGCACTTTTTCTGTAGATTATCTAGTGTTAGATAGTAGCCGCAGGTTTCTTTTCAAAGGAAATAGAACGGCTGGTGAATTGTGGAAAAATCTTGTCGTCCCAAATTCTACTCGCCATAGCCGCAGGATACGAAGCTATCTTGCTAAGCATATGTGAGTTTCGAAATCAGCAGGTCGGATAACCTCTGTGGGCAAGTTTTCCGATATGTTCGGGTTATTCCATTTTTTCTCGTTTTACGCTCCAGAAGCTCGCCGATGGATTTTGGTCAAAATGTTGATGCTCCTGAATTGTAAGGAAACTTCGCTTATAGAGGTTTTCGAACACCCTCTTTACGAAAATCGTGGTCTTTGAGGATTACAGGGTCTTTTTGGAGAGATACGGTGAGGTGACTGTAACTGCATCACGAAAGTGCGTAAATTTGGCCGCACTTCTCGCATACCTGCCAAAAACCTTGCCTGCTTGCTTTTCTCAGCCAAAGTTGCTAGGAATGTGCTATCGAATGGTGCATTACTCAGGCTCTAGTCTGTGAAATTCGCCGAGTTACGAGCCTACGAAAACACGTCCTCATGAATTTTGCCCAAAATGTAAAGATCGCATATCTCGTCGAAATTCCTCCGTGAGCGTTTGTACAACGCGCTGATCAAATCTTTCCACATTTTTAATGGATCTTATTGTGTTAGATTTGGTGCTTTGAGCTCTAGCCACGAAATAGCTTTGATATTCAATTGAGCAGCTGAAGCAGACGCAAGCACCATATTCAGTACAGTGGGAGTCGTTCGACGAAGCGAAAATATCTGCAACGAGCGTCATACAACCGCTCACGGAGGAATTTCGACGAGATATGCGATCTTTACATTTTGGGCAAAATTCAATGGGGACGTGTTTTTGTAGGTTCGTAACTCGGCGAATTTCACAGACTAGAGCCTGAGTAATGCACCATTCGATAGCACATTCCTAGCAACTTTGACTGAGAAAAGCAAGCAGGCAAGGTTTTAGGCAGGTATGCGAGAAGTGCGGCCAAATTTACGCACTTTCGTGATGCAATTACAGTCACCTCACCGTATCTCTCCAAAAAGACCCTGTAATCCTCAAAGACCACGATTTTCGTAAAGAGAGTGTTCGAAAACCTCTATAAGCGAAGTTTCCTTACAATTCAGGAGCATCAACATTTTGATCAGAATCCATCGGCGAGCTTCTGGAGCGTAAAACGAGAAAAAATGGAATAACCCGAACATATCGGAAAACTTGCCCACAGAGGTTATCCGACCTGCTGATTTCGAAACTCACATATGCTTAGCAAGAAAGCTTCGTATCCTGCGGCTATGGCGAGTATAAGCTCCTGCAAGACGAAGGCGGTTGGTTCGAGGCGCGACGTGGCTGTGACGCGGCTGTGACGCTGCTGTGACGCAGCCATGTCGCAGCCGCGTTGCACATCGAACCGACCGCCTTCGTCTTGCAGGAGCTTATAGAATTTGGGACGACAAGATTTTTCCACAATTCACCAGCCGTTCTATTTCCTTTGAAAAGAAACCTGTGGCTACTATCTAACACTAGATAATCTACAGAAAAAGTGCTATCGAAAGATCCTTGCTGGAATGTACTAATGTACTCGGGACAATGCTCGCTGCTTTACACCTTCGCGAAAAGACGTCCTCAGAAAGATTCAAGAATACTGAAATCGAAATATCAAGGACATGCTGTATATTGGAAGATTCGCCTTAATGAGCTGAGCAAGGCGCTGCTTTTCGATTCAAAATATACTTATGGCTAGGAAGTTATGGCTAGTAGAATTTAAAAACGCGTGATTTTTCCAAAACTCACCAACGCTTCTATCTCCTTTGGAAGGAAGTCTGAGCCTATTTTTCAGCGCACAATAATCTACAAGAACAGTATTATCGAATAGTACCCAGTAAAGTCTTCTATGTTGGGTAGGCGTTGCTTCACATATTCGCGAAGGGACCTCCGCAGAACAAATTGAAAAAACTGGAAACGGAATATCGAAGACATCGTGCCCCCCACTTCCAATATATCAGAAGATTCTACGCGCCGAGCTGAATCGAATGATGGCTTTGGATTCAGAATTCGTCCACTCTGAAGCGAGATATGGCCACGCGACGCTGATGTATGGACATGCCCATACATGTATGGACATGTACGGACATGTACGGGCATGTCCATACATGTCCATACATTCGCGTCTATTTTTCAAAAAATGTGAGCGGTATTGTACTGTCAACACAGATATGAAAGAAATGCGTTTCCGCATCCTATCTCGGAAGTACAAATTAGTTAATTACGTTTGTTAATGGGCCGGCATATTTTCTGTGTTGAATTACATAGAAGCGATCTTTTTAGGAAGAAGAATACAAAGCAGTAGAAGAAGAAGTCAACCAAGATCGACAGTACCAAATTGATGCAGCCATTGTGCGTGTCATGAAGACACGCAAAAAGCTCAACCATCAGCTGCTGATCTCAGAATTATTCGCACAGCTTAGGTAAATCTACATGCTGTCTTGAATTGATGTTTTATTTCTCATCTCTTCTTCAGATTCCCGGTTCGAGCAGCAGATTTAAAAAAAACGAATAGGCTCGCTTATAGAGAGATATCTACGGCGATGTGATGAAGATCCAAATTCGTATCAATAAGTAGCTTAGTTATGTATATCAATACTTATATAATATTTGGATAAGCATTTTTTTATGACCGGCCTAAAACGGTACAAAGAATCGAAGAATTTGGATGAAACTTTGCACACATGAAGTTCGGGGTAGGGCGGGTGTCACTAAGCTTTTTCACCGAAAATCACCTAGTGGCGCTATCGATTTATCGATTTTTTGCGTTTTTCGCTTAGCAAGTTCGTTATGACCGGCCTTAAATGTTAGAAAACTTCATTGAATTTAAACGAAACTTTGCACACATGAAGTTTGGGGTAGGGCGGGTGTCACTAAGCTTTTTCACCGAAAATAACCCAGTGGCGCCATCGATTTATCGATTTTTTGCGTTTTTCGCTTAGCAAGTTCGTTATGACCGGCCTAAAATGTCAGAAAACTTCACTGAATTTGAACGAAACTTTGCACACATGAAGATCGGGGTGGGGCGGGTGTCACTAAGCTTTTTCACCGAAAATAACCCAGTGGCGCCATCGATTTATCGATTTTTTGCGTTTTTCGCTTAGCAAGTTCGTTATGACCGGCCTAAAATGTCAGAAAACTTCACTGAATTTGAACGAAACTTTGCACACATGAAGATCGGGGTGGGGCGGGTGTCACTAAGCTTTTTCACCGAAAATCACCTAGTGGCGCTATCGATTTATCGATTTTTTGCGTTTTTCGCTTAGCAAGTTCGTTATGACCGGCCTTAAATGTTAGAAAACTTCATTGAATTTAAACGAAACTTTGCACACATGAAGTTTGGGGTAGGGCGGGTGTCACTAAGCTTTTTCACCGAAAATAACCCAGTGGCGCCATCGATTTATCGATTTTTTGCGTTTTTCGCTTAGCAAGTTCGTTATGACCGGCCTAAAATGTCAGAAAACTTCACTGAATTTGAACGAAACTTTGCACACATGAAGATCGGGGTGGGGCGGGTGTCACTAAGCTTTTTCACCGAAAATCACCTAGTGGCGCTATCGATTTATCGATTTTTTGCGTTTTTCGTTTAGCAAGTTCGTTATGACCGGCCTAAAATGTTAGAAAACTTCATCGAATCGACCCAAGCCTTGCATACATTAACTTCTAGGCAGAGCGGATGTTATCAAATTTTTCACCATAAGGCGTTATCGATTTATCGATTTTTTTGTGTTCTAATCTCTGTTGAGCTGAGTACTGGCAGGAAGGGATAACTGAGCATGGTTAATTTGAATTAAATATCAGCAACTTCAAGAAACTAAACCTTCATACCTTTTTGATTTTTTGTATGCCACATTCTGGAGGTTAGCTGATATTCAACTATGCGTTGACCTTTCGCAACGGGTTTCGTCGACTGATTAGCTCATCAACAAAATAAAAATGGTTCATCCACGAGATCAAATATGACCAGCAAATCAAAATACCCTATCCCGGCCTTACGGTTCATTCATAACATGCCTTCATCGGTCATACCTCCTTCGACTACTGTTACTCCCGAGACCATGGCGCCGACATTGACCCCCTCCAGCAATGGACCGTCCACCTCCACACCTCAGTCGCAGATGCATACCGCCCAGAGAACCCGAGCCCGTCCCGCAGCAAGGCGCACTTCTGAAGCCATGCGTAGCCGCCTTCGTCGTAGCCGAGAAACACCAGAGGAACGAGAACGGCGTCTTGCCTCAATGCGTGAACGTCAGGCAACAGGAACCACAGCTCAACGGACACCTTCAGGAGACACTGGATCAATCCAGGCATGGTGCGAGCCCAGAACGGGTTGGCCAACGAGGATACGAGCCTTCACTCCCAGTTCGCAGATGCACATTGCGCAGAGGACTCGAGCACGTGGCGCAAGGCGGACCTCCGCAGCTGCACATAACCGTCTTCATCACCATAGCCAGGAAGCACCAGACGCCCAAGGAGAACTTGCCCCGATGCACGTAAATTACCTTCATTGTCGCCAGCACAATCACTTTTCAAAGAATGCGTTCAGGAGACGACGGCCACACGTCAAGGACGATCCGAGGAGACCATTTCCACATCCCAGTCGCAGATGGACATCGCACAGAGAACCCGATCCCGTACTGCTGCAAGACGCACTTCTGAAGCCTTGCGTAGCCGTCTTCGCCGTAGCCATGAGACACCGGCTGCACGAGATCGACGTCTTGCCTCTTTGCGTGAACGATATCATGAACAACTCCTATCTGCTGATATGCCTTCCGTCACTGAGCACTACCTGGGCAAGTTGGATGTTATTTGCCTCCATTGTAGCGCCGCATTTTTTCGTGCTGAAGTCCCTAATGGCTGTGACAAGATCAATGTGTGCTGCAACTTTGGCAACATTATCATCGAAAAAAAGTTCGCCAATTTCCCTACAGATTTGACAGCTTTTCGTTGGCAACAACGACTCTTACTGGAATTTCCGCTGCAAAGCACGCCAATTCAATTCTGCGCTGGCGATGGCATCAATGGGTGCTCAAGTCGACTTGCCTTCCGGTCAGGTTCCTTGGGTCTTCAAAATCCACGGCCAAATCTACCACTACTCCGGTCTTCATCCCGCAAGGTATTTGCTTTATTTTAATTTTTAGCTATTAAGTTTGTAATAGCTTAATTGCCGCGATCGTACGGCCAGCTGTACATTCTGGACACAGCACAAGCAGCTGCGGAGCGCCTCGGTCACCCTGCGAACTCGGAATGTGATCCCGACGTGATGAGATCGTTAAGTGCACTAATACACCGTGTTAATTCCTTCGCTCGGTCCTACGAGATGATGGACGAGGTGCTTAAGGAAGAAGAAGCTGCCGCATCAAGGGAGAACGGCAGTGCTGAGCCAATTCGTATGATTTTCGAGATGGACCGTTCCCTTGACCGTCGTCGCTATAACGCTCCTACATGCAACAAGGTGGCCGTTGTTTATGTCGGCGAAGACGGTGACGTTCCCGCTCATCGCGAATTTGCGGTACATTTTATATGGCAACGCAGTTCAGAAGATCTCAGACATTTTCAGTCTTGCCGATTTGATAACAGCCGAATCTGCCGCGTAGCGGCAGAGAGCGGCTGGTTATGTATATTTGCTTGTACACTTGTAGTAATTTGTTGTTGGAGAATAAAAACTAAATTTAGAGTGCAGGAATGCATGTTGATTTTTATGGATTTGTTATCCAAAGTTTCTATTTTGAATCGTTTGATGTGTTTTTTAGCAAAATTTATCCTTAGATGGCTGGCAAGGCTCCTGTTCTGACTGCTCCTTTGGTGAGCCGTTATTTGTTATGGATGTAATGCTCAAATTGCTCAAGATCGTTTCCTAATTCCTGAAGTTGTGTTCTAGCTATGACGGTTACGGTTTCCGAAAATGGCAACGGGAGGCACCGGTTTTGGCGTAGTTGATATGCTGTATCAGGTAAATATCTGAGTTACACGAGTTTCCATTAACGAAAAATGGTTTTTGATTCCTCGTGCTTTTGCGATTTTCATGGGCTTGGCTAATGCAATGGTCTATCCGTCATGTGATAGAGACTTTTGATTTTTCGCCGGAATCCAACAAAGCTCTAGTTACTTTTTCCCGAAAGTCTGGTTTCTGTACGACTAACTTAGGTTTACCATGAAAGTGAGTATCAGTGAACTGAGTGGAGTTATGCGGCTTTTGGCATCCTTTGTGAATTTCCAAAGGGGTAGGGGGATAGGGAATGGGGGGGGGGGGGTCGTGCCGAGGTCCGGCCCAAGGGGGGGGGGGTCGTATCCGACGGTCGTGTGCCGCACCCCCCGCTTTACCCTGTGTGCAACTTCTCGCTCCTGTTCAATATGTTCATAGTGAAGGAAGGTAGGGATACTTACGGATAGGTATAAGCGTGAAATCCAGATATCTGGACCTTCAGGATGTGAAGCTTTCTATCTAAGCTGTGGTCCCCTCCCCAGCGAGTCTCCCTATACTACAAACAAGAAATGCAAATGTAAATTTTCAGCTTTCTAGACGTCTCAAGTGTTCATCACTGTTCTACCGATTCAATATAATGCAAAAAAGACAGTTTCTCGCTCTCGATCTACTCGCAAGCGCGGAAATTCAAAAATGCGTCCCGAAATGAACAAAAGGCCTGTTTACAACAAGAAAGAAATGATATAGTACCAAAACTGACATGTACATATATGCGCAATAGAGTGCTGGAGTCGGAGTTGGGTGGCTTTTGGGACCTGCAGAACCACCTGAGGTAGCTCAGAGAGAACAAAGATATTAATTTTCTTCTCTTCTCATAATTTTTTCAAACTTTGCAAAACTTTCTTAAACCTCCCCAAATCCTCCTCCCCGCCCAGATACAGCCTGCAACTATTTTGAATGGTGACGGCAATCCCACTGCACACCCGCGGAGACACGCGCAGCGGACATCCGTCTCGGAAAATACAAACATTATTGGTATCTCATACGGTCTGTATCGTTATGTTCTGTCTTAATTTCCTTTGTTGATAATGTTTGATTTTCATGAGTATGTCATGGAGATGTCGTATTATTGTTGCGAAGTCAATGGGGACTTTGTCTCCAAAAACCTAACAAAGCCAACTCGTGCCGAGCCCTGGTCCCAAACATCATGGAATACGAAATCCGCACTGGCATAATAAAATGAAGAACGGCAAAGCGATAGACCCAAACAACATCCTCAGAGACCGTTTGTGGTCAAATTGGAGTTACGTGGCTGACATGACTTCACTTCTTAATCAGATGATAGAATCAATGTCAAACAACTGCCAAAGGCGACATGAAGTCGACTGCACGAAATCGCCAGGGTCGCTAGGCTGAAGGCACGCGAGCTTGCCTGCAACGTTGCTGTCGAGTACGGGTTAGGGATCGTTCAGACCGCGCACAAACGCGCGCGAAGGCGCACGAAGGCGCACGAAGGCGTGTGTGTGTGTGTGTGTGTGTGTGTGTGTGTGTGTGTGTGTGTGTGTGTGTGTGTGTGTGTGTGTGTGTGTGTGTGTGTGTGTGTGTGTGTGTGTGTGTGTGTGTGTGTGTGTGTGTGTGTGTGTGTGTGTGTGTGTGTGTGTGTGTGTGTGTGTGTGTGTGTGTGTGTGTGTGTGTGTGTGTGTGTGTGTGTGTGTGTGTGTGTGTGTGTGTGTGTGTGTGTGTGTGTGTGTGTGTGTGTGTGTTGCTTGCGGGCGTTCAGCCCAGTCGAACCTATGCAGTCAGCCATGCCTGCCTGTTCACATACCAGCCCGACTCATGTACCACATTCTAAAGATCTTATTGTTAGAAAGTATTTTAGAAACGCGATTGCGAAGCATTAAGAGGGATTGGTCTCGCAAATCAGTCTTATCCATGAGCTATCCTATCTCCGTCTAAGGGAAGATACAAAACGAAGCTAAGACAATTTTTTGATAAAATTGATTCTAAAAATTTGCATCAATGGCGTAATAGCACTTTTATCCACTGCCATTTCTATTTTCAGTCTAAAAAGATGCCCAGCCACCCACAGACAGCAGCAAGGGTAGAAGACTTCCACATAAACACCGGAGTTCATCAAGGTTTTCTTTTTTCTCCATTATGGTCGCTCATATGATCAGAGGCGTCAGAGGCTTTAGGCGACAATCTCCATGCCTGACATATGCAGATGACGTGATGCTGATGGCAAGAAGCAGAAAAAATTGGAAGCTGAAGGAGCTGTACGGCCATCAATGACAGACCTCCGATAATACGGGCATTTTGGGTGAAAGCAGAGGATTTCGTCGCTAGATTGCTGTGCCTGTTGAGGTAAAAGAGGATAAGAGGTAGACAAAGTCAAGATGGACGGAAAAAGTGAAATCAGACTTGAGAGATCTTGAGATAGATGAAGATCAAGTTGTAGATTGCGAAGTATAGAGGAGATTTGCAAAAGGAATAGCAGGTCCGTCTGAGAGAGCAATGCAAGGACCAAAAAATGGAGAAAAAGTTGATACCCCGTCTCTATCTCCCTTCAGTAGAAGAGCCCCTAGCAAAGTACGACACTCGCAGATATTGCATTCGCCTGACTTGCATTTCCTTCAACTGCTTTTGAATTCGGTTGATTACCTTCCAGTTATCCTGCACAGTAGTGGCGTACACGATTTCCGCTCGGGGGCGCGACAAAAAAAATTTTCTGATGAAGGTGCGTAGCGTTAGCCACGCACTTCAAAAAAGTTTTTGGTATGCTTCCAAAAATTTTCGTGGTCTACTCCGAAGCTCCCGAAAAATTTTTTATAAGGCTAGAACGAGTTTTCAAAAGTTTTCAAAAATTATTTGAATCGATTACAAGTATAAACAAGTCACTTGCACATTTTTAGACTCTTGTAGTAACTTTCAAAAATTTCGCGACCTCTCTCGGGGGGGGGGGGGGGGGGAGTTGGCCCCGCCCCCTCCCTCCACTTCGGTACGCCACTGCTGCTGCACTTGCGATAGTGTTGCTACCAGTCACCCATTATGATACGCATTTGAAGCTGTGCGGGTTCTGGGCAGTTCCTTGCATAAGAAGCTAAAGCGTAGCCTTTCACTCTTTTGTCAAGCAGTCAAGGTTCTTCCGTTTATTTCTTCTAAAGGCTGCTCGATGGCCAACCACAGCATAATACAGGATGTCCTGAAAAGATCTACAAAAGATTTACAAACGTTTCATCGTTGATAAATCTCTTGCCATAAACTCTCTCGAGAAGATTTGTACTGTTTTGTAGAGCTTGCTGCAACTTAGATCCATAAAGAGCAAATCACTAATCACCCTTCATAACTGTAAGAGACTACGGTAGAGACTTCCGACAGAAGTCACTATAAAAGGTACCCTCTAAAAAAGACAGGATACTCATAAACGCTGAGTTTAATATTCAACTTTGTGAAAGATTGTGAAGCATTCTAAGCGGTGTAACCACATTTTTAGGAACATAAAAAACGGCTGCTATTCCTTACTTGGCATGGCATTACGAAGCATTATAATAAGATGCAAAAGCGCCGAACTTTTGTCAGCGCTTAGGTAAGGGGTCTACTATATCATCGCTACAAAATCCCGGCACCGCTCACTTTGCCGGACGCTGCCTTCAATATGTAAACCTAAATTGAACCCACCTCTACACAGTGGTACCTGCATCTCTAAAGACTTCACGACAAAAGAGTTCTCAACGATCAAACGTCCATACATCTTTCTGTGACACCCTGCATTATACAACCTCCTTTAGCTTGAAAAGTAGCGATTGGTTTTTTTCTCTTGTAACACAATGGCAGCTTTTTCCTCAGCCTTTGTGCCTTCAATCAAAGAAAATGCAATGATAAAAAAGCCTATCTAGAGAAGACGTGGTAATGTATGCTTCCTGCAGGCTTCAACGTGATACGGGCGTGGAGAAAAGCTGTTGAAGGCGGAGAGTATGCTCATACTGTTCTGTCCCAAGACAGCAGCAAAACCATAGTTTTGAAGAATAGCATGTTTTGGTTGAAAAGCTCTTAGTATGATCAAGGCTCGGCACCAGCTGGGATCTGGGAAATTTTAGAACGAAGTCCCTTCCAATTTTGAAAATTTCCATGACTTCCCTATGACCCTTTTTTGGCCCCTCACTGCTCTTCACTTGGCTTTTGCTCTTCATTTTGAGTGTGACTGCGGCTTAACCCAGCATAAAGAGCAAAAAGCTGAAAAAAAACGAAAACCTATTTCTCCTCCTTTACGCTCCACTTCCCCTTCCTCTCTCCCTCTCTACCCCTCCACCTCGCCCTCCCCAACCTCCTCCGAATGAGACAAACGAACGAATAGAAAAGAAAAACAGGAGAAAACGGAGGTTAAGATAAAGGACACCGAGTGTCCAGCGAAAATGGAAAATTCGCATCTCGATTTTTTTGGAGGCACGTTTTGAGATTGGAGCAGAGCGCAAGTGAAGAACTTTTGAGGGCCATAAAAAAGCTCAGAAGGAAGACCATGAAACCGTTTTTTTTTTCTTTGTATGAAAACTTTACAGTGAAAATACAATTGATGTAAAAAACCCATGAAAAATTATGTGAGCAAAGGGACGCTTCCAGCACAGCTGACACTCAGCTGGAACCGTGCTAAATCGAAAAAAAATTTAGAATTTCATGCACATAAATTTTCATAAATTCTCGGGCCATAGTCGTTGGCCATGTGCACACCAAATTTAGTGTCATAACATTGCGACTTGATTATAAAACAGGACTTTTGTTTGTATCTACATGGCATAATTTCAAATCCTCGCGATGACTAGCTGTTAGCATGACGCCGGTATTCCATCCGCATGCCACCGACATGCCGCCGGCATGCCAAGCGGTATAAAGAGTAGGCATGACCAGGGCTCGGCACAGGCGGCTGTAAGCGAGCTGGAT